TCACAGAAAATAACCGTTGTGTTACTTATTGATGATGATGATAGCTGAGAAGTATTCAGATGAAGGAACATTTTTTCAGTCCCACATGGAATCTTGTAAATTAAACCATAACATGTGTCAAGCAATGAGAAGAGTCATATAATGTATTGGATGAAATATCAATCAAATATCTGATCTCTTGTGGGACCTTGAGTAGTATACTTTCCCATCCTTTAGAATCTTGTAGAATAGTTATGCATTCAAAGTATAATTAAAGGCTTCATGCATTATCAGGAAAATGGATTTACACCTTTTTCCAAATTCAAGAGTTTGATTGCAAAATGTATGAAACCATAACTTATTGAGTTAATCTTATTTGTTTTAGTCTGGCAGGTGACCACGGTAAACGCAATTCATTACCATTTGTGACGCTTCAGAGGAGTTGTTAAAGTTGCAATAATTGAGACGATCCTTTACTCAATAAGTGAGTCACCACCAGTGGATTTTATCACCTTCAGACTGTGAAAAGCAAGTCTCACATTTACCGTCACAGCCCTACTCTTGGGACAAACGGGAGAAAAAAAACTTGTTTTTTTACAACTAATTAAGCAAATCTAACAAAAAGAGATGGGAAGAACCTGTTAGATTGATAGGGAAAGTATTGGACTGATTTCAGTATGCTATACGGATAACAAGAAACCAAAATAGCACCCCAGGACGGTGTGGTGGGATGATAATTGCCTAAGGGTCTTATTGCAAACCAGGCCAAGGTGTGTCCAGTACAGCTGATTGAGCTGCCAAAAGGTCTGCAGCCCTGTTGACAGAGAGATAAGTAACAGCAAGGTGAAACGAAGAGATGTCACACTGTGCAGACATGAATCTTCTCATGGACACTCTCAGCAAATCGATATGTTCCTTTAAAGCCCTCCATGCCCTGCATATTGCAAAAACATCAGCAATACTTGAGGCCGTCTATATATAAAAGCGACCTTTTCTGATGAGACCTCTGGGATTGAGCAGCCTATTTCATTCTGCTTCCTTCCTCTCTCCCTTCCTCTGTCTGTTGCTGTTTTTAAAGTCTCCCTATGCCGGCAGCAATGACGACATCTGCTCAAGCTACTGAGCTACATGCTAATGATGGAAAAACTGGGCAAGCGGTGGAGCTGGATGTGCATGAGGCAGGTAGGGTGTCAAGTGTGAAATGTTCCACATTAAAGGTGAGCTCAGTGCAGTAAGGGCTCCCCTGGGTTCATTAAAATAGAAAAAATATTTTCACTTGTCTTGAACTAAAGAAAACCTTGTAACAAACACAAATGGTGCAAGAAATAAACATGTCTTGACTTGTACCGTGTAGAGACCTCATGACGCAGGTCTAAAAACTGTGTTGGTTGAAGCAGAATAGATACCTTTAATTAAGACTCTTCAATAAAACTGAAGTTCTTTCGTTTCACCCTCAAATACTGAGAGCCGGACTTCTGGCAAAGACAAAAGTTCAATGAAGTCCTGACAAGAAAGCAGACAGAGAACAAACACACACCAAACAGGATTCAAGAGACGGCAGCTGGGTAGACATGACGCTTCCTTTGTAAACCTGCCAAGTGTTGAAAGGATCGGCCGATCAGAGAATTAAGGATTAATCTTGGCTTAAGCCCTCTGACTGCTGCACAAATAGATGAGCTCCGGAGAGGAAGTCCAGCTGAATTCACAATGGCTGCTTCTTTTATGGATCTTCTTGGTTCATGGATGCTATATGCACATTAATAAAAATTTAACAGCATAGTTTTGAGATATTAAGTAATCTGTTAGAGGAATAAAAAACTATAATGTTAATATTCTTTAGGAGCTTTAGCTAACACAAACCAAAATCTAACACTGAAATCTTTTTTCTGGGACGTATAGCCATGATCACACTTAACACTAAAACATTTTTTACTATTTAAAGAAAATTTGAACAATTGGGCTCTGGCTGTTAGGCCTACTTGTTTGAATGAAGTTAAAATACGTTTTTAATCAACTCACACAGAAAGGATTTTTTGATTCATGATTATTTGTTACTACAAAATAGTTAAAAAGTGCTTTGGATGTCTGCAAGAGTGGCTCAAGATATCCACATAGTATTTGTTTTCCTTGCATAGATATTTAGCATTTAGCATTAATTTATGTTTCTGTAATTGTCAAACTGTGCACATAACTCTTGACTGTGTTTTTAAGGCCTTGTTGCCAACATTTAGAGGTCATTTCAGACCCCTGGCTCCAGACATGTACACTGATGAAGTCCAGAGGTAAGTCAGTTGACGTGAGACAGCTAGTAGCCACGGGAGGACAGCTAATGTTAGCCAACATCACTAGCAACACACACAGGTTATAATTTATATGATTTTGACAAGTTTGAGAGATTTCAAGTTATCCTCATACACCAACTGTATCTGTATCTTTATTATTTCATGAAGGCCATGTTTACAAAAAATAAATTCAATGAAATACAAATAAAAGTCTGTCAAATTGTTGGGTATTTTAAATTGTTTAAAATGGAAAGGAGTCAGTATCAGTAACTAAGGAGGGCTGGGATGACAAAAGGCTGCTTCCTGCTGAAGGTGGGGCTTGACGAAGGGTCAATTTACACAATACTAAAGCTAAGGCTTAAACCAGCGACTCACTAGCTTAGCTTAGCTTGGCGTCATGACTGGAAAAGGGGGGGGACATCCTGGAAACATCAAAAGTTGAGACTTTGTTTTAAAACACCTCTCAAGATCTCTAGTATAGTGTATCATGTTTGACTAAAACACAAGTTATGGTTTAACATGGAGTAAAATACTTGAACAATTTCTTAATTAGGCTCTGTTTTAATATGCTTCCCATCTTCATGCTAAGCTAAACTAAGCTAAGCCAGGCCAGGATGTGCACAGTTATGATGTTTAGTGGGCAGAGCCAAACTGGTGGTCGAAAGTTAGCTAATTTATGTTAACGTTATGGACCAACGTTATGGACATTTTCCAGTTTTTTTTTTATTGTTTGGCAGCAGAAGACAAGTTGTCTCCCATTGGTAAGCTCAGTTATGTAACACAAGGCTTCCCTTTCTTTATTTTAATCAAATGACATTTGAGTGCGACTCAAAGCTAGAAATAAATAAGAATCAGAAGTATAATATCCTGAAGCCCAGCAAACACGATATGGGTGTTTTTTTAACGTTGCATAACACTGAAATAGCTGCTGTAAGATATGACTACTCCATATCTTGATGACAGTGTTTTGACAGACAGAGAAGATAAGAGTCTGCCACAGTGGCAAAAACATTGACTACCATATTTGGTACAGCAGGATACAAGAGGAAATGTTAGCTGGCTTGATTTTGGGGCCCACGTGACAGCTGAATTTGAAAACAATGACAGACACTGTGATATGGTTTACACAGATTACAGAGAGGAAGGAAGCTTGGACAAAACGGATTTGGTAAAGGAATCCGGCTCAGGAGCGGGACTTCGACTGTCTGGTATGAAAGATGAGCATAAAAAAATAAAAAACATTGTTCTGAAGACAAAGACAGTCAACAGGGAGTGAGAGAGAGGAAGCAGGCAGAGAGAAGCGATAGAAAGGCTCTTAACAATTTCTTTTAGAAAAAGAAGCTGTGATTGTCAAAACAGATGGCAGCTGGTAAAGAAGATTAGGCGTTGTTACTTCTGTTTCCAACGCCACTTCATACTGATAAATCCTCCCCCTCCGAACACAAACACACTCGACCCTAAAAACCAAGTCAACACTTCTCAAAGCTAAACAGATATCAGGAGAAAGGATGTTTTGCTTTACCATCTGTTACTCCTATTCCCAAGAATATCTGATTGTTGACAGACTGAGGAGACAAAGTCACGTTTTCAGTTTGAAGCTATATGAGTTTGTGATTAAAATAGTTTAAGGAACATTCTCTATTCTCTATTCCTGGGCATTTAGAGTGCTTCTCATCATGTTTAATGTTTACGTTAGCAACATTGTGCTCAGTGGGATAGCATAAAGACTGCTAGCAGGAGCTAGCCTAGCTCTGACAAAATCAAACCCCAGCCGATTGAAACCTTTATATCTATTGAATCTGTACAAAAGCTAAAGATTCAAAGCAACAAGTTGATTTAATGACAGTTTTGTTGCTAACTTGAGGTTACTGACCTAAGATATACTCAGAACCTAAGTTGTTTTTGCTGTTTTAATTTTGTATAAGGATGTGTTAGTGTGTTGTGTTTGTTAGTTGATTAACTCCTATGGGTGCTGGTGGAAAGAATCAGGCTAGCCTCTGCATGTTGTTATACTAAGTGGTAGTGAAGCTAAGCTAAGTGGCACCTGGCAGTAGCTCCATATTTGCCAAAGAGATAACTGTTTAATTAGATAACTAAATGTAATTAGTGAGTTTTTGAGGGCTCTGTTGGGAAATTTTGGATAGAGGCAGGCGAGCCATTTCATGTTTTATTGCTAAGCTACGCTAAGCAGTACGCTGAATAGGCTTTATATTTCCAAACCAGACATGACCGTGGTATCCAGCGAGATATAAAGTATGCTAATGTATAAATTGTACAATGACAAATGTTAATCTACATCTTAATAAAGGAGCCTAAAAGGTTGCCGTTTGGAAACTTTGGATGAAATCAGGCCCGTTTTGAGAATTATTTATTCTAAGCTAAGTGAAAGCCAAGCTAAACTTAGAAGCAGCTTCATAACTAGTCGAGAGAGTCGTATCACACAGGAATTTGAAACGGAGAAAAATCTGAAACAAGATTTATGTTTTAATTACTATGTGAGAGGAGTGTTAGGCAACTTTGGATAGAATAAAGTTGTTTCCAGACTTAATGGTAAGCTGGACAGCTAGCTGTAGCGTCATGTTCAGTGTAGGAAAAGCCATAAAATCCTAAAAGCTCAGCTTTGTTTTAATCAATACAGTATATTAAAAGTCATGGGCCGCTTGAACGCACATCAGTCATGATGAGTCGACTTGTGTGTAAGGGGAAATGACCATTACAAGAAAAATCACACACCACACGTTACTTCATCAGTTGGTTGGTTTATTTATCATTAGCAATGACACCAAATGTACTCTACTGTTTTCACTTGCTATCAGAGGAGAGATGCATTTTGAATTGTAAACAGTGAAAATGATAAAATGCATTTCAGAAACTCCTTACAAGCAGTGTATGACCAGGGGAAACGAGCAGATTGGACCGGCTCTTTGCTCACCTATTGTTTGTTTTTTAACAATACATGTCATCTTATAGTTTTGAGTCTCATATATACATAGATACAGCTGGGTCCCACATTCATCACCAGCAGAGACCTATTGGTTTTTTGTTTTTGTTTCTTTTTAATGTGTCATCACATAGTTTTCTTAAAGAATTATATTTACAACCATAATGCCCCCCGGCTGCCTGCTGCCGAGGGTTTAACACACAGTTAGAATCACTTGCTTAAAATTCATTAAACTACTTATGTTTCTTGAAAGTTTGCGTTGTAAGTCAACCTTATAGCTCTACGTTTTTTTTTTGTTTCTTAACAAATAAAGTTAATACAGAGCTCAAGCTGTTCGTCTTTCCCATAAAAATTCAACATTATCCAAATAAATGAACAAACATAATAATAAAATAAGATAAAAAAAATATTGCACTTAAATTTCAGGACAGCACTGGACCTGTGTGGTGGTTAAGAGGAAAAGTGAGAGAGCTTTTAGCTGAGTGCTTAAGAGGAGGTGAGGGTGTCTGTCGAAGCATCCAGCCGTTTAATCTAAATAAATAGGCAAACTTTTGTACAACGTGAAGCAATTTCTATGAAGAGAGCAACTTCTGGTGTATTGCTCAGTAGAACTAGGGAGTGCAGAGAGGAACCCTAACGCATATAAAAACAGTGAGAGTGTGTAGAAAATCAGAAACAGCTGAGAAGATAAACTCATAGCAATGTCCTGAGAATGCTTCCTCCGTTAATCCACAATGAGCTACAATGTTAAAGGAAAATGTTGTTTGGCTGCATGGAACATTTCATTCATCTTCTTCTTCTGTGGTTGTCGCTCCTTGTTGTAAACACTCTTTGGAGACAGAAAGCAAGTCGTCTTTTTTTTCTCTTCCATTACTGGCTTTGAAAATGACTTTTTAATGTCTTTTGATGTGAGAGTGACACACATCTGTGCTCCATCACGGTCCATCATGCGTCCTCGTTGATACTTTTGTGTTCTTTGCTCGTCGCTGTCTCCGTCTTTGTACTCGTCGAATGCTCACTGTGTCTCTTTTTTTTTCCAGTCTTGGGGATGAGCTGAAAGCCGTTTATAGAAGCTTTGTGAGGGGTAGAGGTGTAAAACAGAGCAGTAGCGCTAGCTTTCATTCAGACATCTTGTTTCCCCCTCCCTCCATCATACAGAGAAAAACTACAGGAAGAAAAATAGGACTTGGTGTCGTACCAACAGCTTTGAAGTGGTTTCATAGAGAACGAGGTGGAGGAAAGGAGGGGATTAGGAGAGGAAATAAAAGAGGGAAAAAGTGACGAAACAGTACCGGACTGTCTTCTTGTCTGCAGGGATTTCTGAGCAACCCCTCCTTTTCTCCAGTACAACTGGACAAAACGTATAAACACGACCAAAACACTGATACCGAAAAAAAAAAGGAAAGAAAAAGGAAACGAGACAGTGATCAGACAAGCGTCCAGCTCCTGCTCCAGCCCGCTCTTTTTCGGGCTGCTGTATTTATAGTAACATCCATCCATCCATTCATGAATCCACTCATTCATCCATCCACCTGGTAACTGTGTAAACGACATTCCTTTGCAGTGCCATAGCTTCTTTTTTTTTTTTCTCCGCGTCCTCCTCACACTATCATATAAAAAGAAATCAAAGTGGACACGAGGACAAGACACAAAAAAAGTAAATTAAAAAAAAGGAAGAAAAAAAGGCAAACACAGAACCTCCAATCCCCCTAAAAAACCAAAACAGTCAACTTTTTTTCAAGTCTGCCCTCTTTTTTTTGTTTTCTCCTCTCTTCATCTTCATTTCTTTTTCTGGTCTCTTATGATGAAGAGGAAGTCGGAGTGGAGCTCTGCTTTTTTTGGTTGATTAAGTCCGAGTAGAGTTCTGAGCGCAGGAAGCGGGGGTATGAGTCCTTCTCCATCAGCCCGTATATCCGCCTCTGCGCAAGGTCAAAGCAGGAGCGCGTCACATTCTGCAGGTTGTCCTTCGTGTGATCTCTGGTGTACGAGTCCAGATTTACCTGCAGGAGAAAACAAGAAGACACATCAGGAAAATGCAATTTAAAGAAAAAGAAAAAAGGGAAAGTGCATGTTTTCTTGGTTTGTTTTGTGCCTTAATTGCTCCATCTCGCTCACCTCTTTACACGACTGGATGGCGATGTATTCTGCAAAGATTTTCTTGGCTTTCGACGCCATCTTGGACTGCGACTTGATCTTCTTGTATTCCTCGCAGGCTAGCCAGAATTCCAGATTCTCCTCGCTGAACTCCGTGCGCAGAAAAGCTCTGAAGGCTGCCAGACCATCTGAGGGAGAGCAGAGAGACAGAGGAGGAGGAGAGTAAGTAAACAAGACGAGAGTTGACTGGAGTGTCATGGCAACCTCACAGCTAAACTGCTCCTAGAAGTTTCAGCACCCAAAAATAGCCCCGAGACGGCCGTTTCGAGTCATGTGGTTGGAAAATAAAAAGAAGTGAGGCATAAAAAACCTCTGTGCGGCACATATTTGAGTGTGTAAAGTGACATCACCCTGCAGACACAATCCTCCCTTATTTTGCAGTTTACACTCATGCTGTGAATAAACAAAGAGGTGTCTGTGTTAGGGAGGGGGGGGGTGGGACTAGTTCTGTCACTCAGGACGCTTTTTTTGTAAGTCTCACTCTAGTTAATGATCTGAGGAAGAAGGCATCCAGGAGAAAGAATTGCAGGAAGCAGCGTCCACCCACAGCTCTGCTCTGCACCTTTCCGTTCCCATGAATCACCCAACACTCGATAAAGTGAGCCAACACACACGGTCATCTCTTACCTCATACTGGTGAGCAGGAGTGAGGTAAGAGGAAATTAGTAGAAAAAAAGGGGGGGGGGAATAAAAGAGGCTAACAAAGCCGAATGAGGAACAGATGTAGCGCTGGATCTGTGTCAGGTTTTTTCTTTCAAGGAAGGTTTAGAGGAAGAATTATGGGGAAACAAAAGCAGAAAAGATGTCTGCAGGTTTTTCAGTTTCCCTCCTTTTTTTTTAATGTAAAGCATGGAGTTTGTTTCTGTTGGGATTAAGGGTAGGCTGCATGTTCACTGTGGCAATTTGTGTGTGTGTAATCTGTTCATGAGTGCATGCTTGTTTCCTGTGCATGCCACCCTCCCCCAACACCTCAAGCAAGCATTATAAATGTACTTAATTATGTTTTTAAAAAAAACATTTCTAAATACAAATGAGATTAATGAATGCATAAAGAAGGGAGAACAAACATGAGAGAGGGGAAAGACTGAGGAGTCAAAAGTTAACTTACATTTGTGTGCCAGCAGCTTGTCAAGAGAGTCCCCCCATTTGAGCGCTTCCTCCGGGCTGGGCCTGCAGATAAAAGCAGAGCGGTTCTTTAACAAGCCCATCTCAGCCAGGTTTCTCATTGTGTGACCCATCCGCAGAACTTTGTCTATGAAAAGCGGACGAGTGGAAACGTGGACGTATTCAAATCCTCTCGTCTGCTTCCTTCCACTCTGCTCTGCGAGTCTGTGCTCCCTCGCTTACATTCAGCCTCATGAATGTTAACAACACTTGAGAGTCTGTCTGAATCAGCCTGGTGGGGGGAAGGTTTTTATATTCCCACTGAATGAGACTTGGAAGGCGGGAGAGGAGGGGCTTAAGGCAGCCAATGGGGATGTGCTGACGGGTTTAGAGCCCTCCCCCCCCCCACCGGAGTCTGTCTGCCCCCTGCTGCCTCTCATCCTTTCAGTGCTCAGCTGTAAAGCTCATCTTAAACACACTGTAATCCACATGTGAAACCTTACTCCAACCTTGTTTGTGTTTTGATCAGTCCTGACACAATTACTTTTTTTATTTTTTTGACCCTGGATTTGAAATGTAATCGTCGTTCTGACGTCTGATTTTCATCAGTTCTGACGTCTCTTTTTTTAATACGCTCATACAATTTGTTTCTCATTCTGACATGTGTTGCAGAACATGAATGTACAAACACCGTATGTATGATAAAAAAATCATGACAACTAACCTTTATTTGAAGAGCTTTAAATTCCTCTCTCTCTGTTTTGATCTTATATTTTAATATACCTTGTATTAGGTTTTACATGTGCTCTACGTCATGTGTCTTTTGATGCTTTATGTTTTGTTTTGATCTCTGTAAAGCACTTTGAATTCTTTCATGAATGAACAGTTCTCTGAAAACAAACCTGCCTCGTCTTGCCTTGTTTCATAAAAGTATGACACAAGATCATGATTGAAAATATATGGAAATTAAGTTTAGGTCAAAGTCAGAATATAACAAATACGTATAAAACAACAGCAATAACATTATAATAATTTAGAAAAATGTAAAAGTAAAGTAAAATCCGGAAAGGCTCTCAGATAAACTTGTGTTTTATTAAAGAACTGAAATGTGTGTGCTAAAACGCTAGCTTTGGTTTGTTTACAGGTCGACTGTTATACTGTTATACTACAAGCCGAATTATCTATAACAATGATATTTTCAAGTAATTCAGCAAATGATATACACACTTTAAGGTCATTTAGGTTTATGATGATTTTAAGTTAAACTATATAAAAAGTGTATGAAGATTGGTTGCTACAATTAAACATTTCTTATCGTCTCTTTCAGTCGCTCCCTAACTCACATACAGCTTTAAACGTCACGCTGATCTCGATCACATCGTATCTGATCTTAAATTTTATACAAATCTTTTCCTCAAAATGACGAAAAGCAGCGCAGCAGTCAAACGATCCCACTCTGCCTCGTCTGATTTTCATGCTACACCTCATCGTCTCATTCGTTTCATTGAATCCACACATTGCAGGCACACTCCCTTCCCTCCTACTGCCCACATGTCTGTCTTCCAAGGCCAGGTCACGACCGGTTATTGTGGCGAGACCCGGAAAAACAATCTGACACCCGCCCACATGCACACGCTGTCAGGAAGAGGCCACTTACTTGACTGACTTCATGGATTTGTCTAACTTGCCGGCTGGGTTGCTTCCTGGGGATTCATTCCTCCTCCGCAGGAATGCCAGCCGATTCTTCATGTCTTTGGCCCTGAGTGCAAGAAAGATGGGAGGGAGAAAGATAGAGAGTTGGCAAAGGAGAGGAGAGGGAGAGAACGATAGATAGATACAAGAGGAGGAGGAGGAGGAAAAATGGAAAAAGAGTGAATAAAGGAGATAGAAGAGGGAGACAAAAAGAAGAAAGAAAGTGCGTTGAGTCCAGGTCCAGAGTCCACAATTAAAACAATCCAAGGAATAAGATCACCAGTGAAGTTCTTCAGCACTGTAAATCCAAATGTAACAAAGCCATAAATGCCAGGAAAGAGGAAAATAAATAACTGTGTGTACATTTTCGTCTTCAATCTTGGTTAAAAGTCAGAACTTTTCCAAAAAGGCCGATTTCAAGCTTCCTCTCTTCGCTGCCTCTCCTGTCAATCTAATATCTCTTCGCTGTAGAGATGTGTCCCTGGCAGGTTCCTCGGCAGGGACTGAGTGAAAGTGGCAGGGAAGGATGAAAGAGACTCAATCCTCACTCCTCTGTTTCATCACACCATTCCTCAAAGTGTGCCCACAGGGGGGCTTCTGGGAGGAAGCTGACCCTGAGGGGTTGAGGCAGCGGCGCCCGGTGACCCCTCTGCTTCAGGGATCTAAAAATCCTCCTGACTGCCCGCCTCACCTTTTTTCACCTTCGCCCCAAAAAAAACACTGTGCTACCACCTTAAATCGCACACAAGATGATACACCAATCCCTCAGTCCCTGCATCCCCGTAATCCCATGGTGCGTGTCCTGGCTTTTCCCGACCTGGAGCACGTGCTGCCTCGCTGGGACGTGACCTCACTCAACACCCATTTCCTGAGTCCCTGCTTTTTTGATTTCCACTGTGGATTGGCTGGCCCGCTAATAATGCAGCGCTGAAGTGGCCCTAATCACTGCAAGCTGTCCCTCTGCCAACCCAAAGCGCCCCCCCCCCCTCCCCCTCCCTCCCCCCCTGAGGAGATACAGCACACCCCAAATTAAGACACAGGGCTTCCAGTAATAGATATCAGTCAAATATGCACACGCAGGAGGGGGTGGAAGACCTCACAGCTGCAGATTAGCACAAACACTGTGCACCAATATAACCAGATGGGGAGGAGAGAATTGAAGAATCGCCCCCCCTCCATTTTGTGCCAACTCATGCCCACTTCACTGCCACTTTCATGCCAGTCACAGGTGTTGGAAAACTCCCCCCCCCCGGTGTGTGCATGTGTGGATGAAGGGAAGTGATGGAGAGAGATAATTTATGCACGCGTAAATGTAGGTGGCTGGAGAAAGCGAACACAGAACGCAGTCAGCTGTCTGAGGGGAGTTTTCCAGCCTGAGGAGTAGAAACATGCGCGGCACATGAGACGAGGGGACTGCGTGAGCTGTTGGAAGCAGACGTGGATGAATAGCTCCTTTAAAGTCTTGTTAAGGGTGACTTTGTGGAGGGATTGATTTGGGTGTGTTTTGGTTTCGGAGGGGGTTTGGGCTGGGGAAGGTTACTCAGGTCGACTCTGGGGAAACATAAGAGGTCTTTTTCTTACCAAATGGATGATTTTTGAAAATGAAGGTACTGCTATTAAATCTTAAAGATTAAAGTTTGTAAGAAATGTGGCATCTTGGAAAAAGAATGATTTTCCTTCTTCTGTCATGCAAGCTAAGGGATGGTTTGATGTGAGTTCATGATTGTGTCATGAAAGGAGTCCAGAAACCAAAAGTTAAAACATCCTGATGTTACTTTAAGCTCAGGAAACAAACATTTTAAATGTCTAAAGCTACTGTGAGGAATTTTTAGGTTGTATCGATTTTGGCGCCTCCTGTGGACAAAGCGGGAAGATTTATCTCTTCGTTTATTTGGTCCTGTACACGTTTGAGGGATGATTTTTTTTTTTTTTGTAATTATTTTCTTTAAATGTCTAACAGGCAACTCACATAAAAATAAAAAAAAAGGCTGTTTCTGCAGCATGCTGTTAATCACCCTGTATGACACGTACGCTTCAGCCGGTGGGGTGACCAATTAATCAATGGTCTTGCTGATGTTATGGTTTACTTTCATAGGTCATAAAGTGGCTTTATTATTCATTTCAGTCCGTTTCATAACCAGTAAAAAATATCCTCACAGGAGCTTTAAGTATAAAATTAAACAACCGTACTGGACTGACGTCACCTGTGCAAAGGACGACATGATTTACTTCTGATTTCTCCCTGCCACTCCCCACGTTTTGGGAGGAGAAAAGCAACAGAATGGTAGGAAAGGAGGCAGAAATGTCTGTTTTTAACCAAGAGAAAACAGACACTTTGCCTACCTCTAATCCTAAGGGATACCTGAGCATCCTCACAAAGTCCTTGCTGGAGTGGAGACATGACTCATCCATTGATTGAAATGAAGCGAGCGCCCTGCATGACGCAGACTTCAACCACATGCAGGACTGCTGAAGAAAATTCAGGCCTTCTCTTTTCATCTTTCACAGGCCTGAAGGACAGTATTACACAAATAAAACCCCTCTTGCTGTTAAATAAAGTCACAACATCAGAGCAGGATTCATTAGGTTCTTCTATATTTAGCTTGCACTCAAGGTAATCACGTCCTGAGCGGTGCATGTGATGGTGAAGACAGAGCCGGTGCGTGAGGAGGATGTGAAACTTTGATTTTATAAGGGCTTGAAAGTGTTTTGTTGGCTGACAAAAGATGGTTTATTATTTATGTCTGGTTTTATACAAGCAGCGCCGGCATGGGAATGAGGTAACAATGATGTCACTTTGAAGGGAAATGTATGTTTCTATCCTGCCACCATGTGGGTGTCATTGGATATTGCAAATGCAAACAAGTTGACACTTTTTCAGCCCTCCAGCAGCAGCAGCACAGATTGCTTACAAGGCGTTCTGTTTACTCCAACATCTTGAGCTTACAACACACTCTGATTTACTTTCCCAATTGTAGTCAGGACATAAATCACAGCACAGACAATATTTATTAAAACACGTTTCATGTAGCTGTCTCGTTCAAACCATAGCACACACTTGTAACACTGACTGAAGTAACACTTTTCTCCTTTAAGTCTGAAGTTGTGCATGGCATCTGAACTGATTCAAGACTCAAAGGAAACTCTCTTTGCGTTTTTTTTTTCAGCTTGATCAGTGTCAAAAACTACCTCAATAAGGGCAGACACATTTTTCCCCCTTTAAACAGCTTCATTTAAAGGGTTACATTTCTGTGTCCCCCAGACACACAGATTAGCGTTGTTACACCAGAGATTAGCAGAACTCCAAAGTGTTCACTCAGATTTTTACAGTGACTAAAAGGCTGTTCATACATGAGACCACATATTTTTAAACGACAGAAATCAAACAAACACAACCTACGCTCAGTTTAGTTCAAAATCAGAGATGGAAAGTAGTCTTCTACCTTTTTCCACATTGCAAAAGTCACATCTAAGCAAGTGTATCTGTCTGATTTCAAGTCAAAAATATCTTGTTACACTTATTGTAATTCACATTCACCTGACAAGTCCAGATAAACTTCGTATTTTAACATATAAAGAGCAGTAAATAAGACCTGAATTGCCAGAAATTGCTAAAATGTTTGCCAGTGGGGAAAGCAAAATGTACTTTACTGTCTTGAAATGAGACATACTAACTTATTTGGGAAGTACAACTCACTACAAATCATTTACTAATAACTTTAGCAAGAAATGGGACTTTTTTTTTGCAGTGCAGCTAAAAAAAAGATGGTACTGTCACTTTAATTGAATTTTATTAACCCAGTGTTCCTTGCAACTCTGCTCTGTATGTGCTAATGGAGCTCATTCCTGCAGTCTCTCAGTTTGAAGTAGTCTCACTGTATGTGAAGCAGGAAATTCACTCAATAAAAGTTACAACAAGTCAAGTTTACCGTGTGGCTCCAGCTGAGCATGCTAACAGCTTCACAGCACTAAAAGCATTAGCAGTGTACTGTATCACGCTCCGCCGGATTCATTACACACCATGGCCTCTCACTTAACCTATGTCTGCAAAAAGATTGACACTCACTCTGCGGAGGATTATCAAATTAGGATGATCCTCGATCTAATATGCTGCCACAACAAAATGAGAGCTTTACAGCCCATGTTTGCAGCTCGGACATAATGTGTACACACAACTGATTGTCTGCCTGTGTGAGAGATCTATGCACCCGAGTGAAGGAGCAAGAGGTCTTTGGTTTCTCAATTATCTGCAGGTTTCCATCCTCTTTATTCCCTCTTTGCTTGGCTCACATTAGACGCGCTAATAGCACCCCGCTGGCTATTCCTGGTGTTCTGAAAAGTAGGCCGCACTCCCAGGGAAAGGCTCTGGGAGCACATGTGGTGAGAGCTGCAGACAGACGTACTGCAGAGCACAAAGCACCGAGACAAATTTTTACATGCTTTGTTTCCCCACAATGATGGGAGTAAACCCCTTTGTAGAGCCTGGCGAGTTAGGTCGGGGGTACAGCATGTGAACAGAGGGGGAGTTGAAATGCTGCAGCTGAAATGTGAGCAACGTGCAGGCATGTTTTCATTCCCTCTGCAACTTTCTATTTACAGAAGGCTTGTGTGCCTGTGTAGTGAACACAGTGCAGGACACACAAACAACACTGTGCAGGCTTGTGAGTTTGTTTGTGTGTCTGTTTCTGTGATTAGAAGAGGTCAAGGGTTGTGTCAATGTGTCTGCAACGTTTATACTGTCTGCAGGTTTGTACATTGAATTTTAATATTGCCTTCTGTCCACTTTGTGTAACATGTATGCATTGTTTTGTTACTTTTTCGATATATACACTGTACATGTACTGTTTTTAGGGTTAAATGTGTCCAAAATTGGTAAATCAGAATACAACATTAAAAGTAGTAACTACATTTGAACCTTAAATGATGTGGAGTTTGTTTTGAGTGTTTCATGTATTGCTCTACAAACAGTTCAGAGTTGTGATTTTTCCAAAACCATAAAGAAAATGAATACGAATGATAAAGATCGTTACAGCTCCTACATATCAAGACGAAATTGTACCTTGTTCC